TCTCTGCATACATGAGCTGAACGTAAGCTGATATACCCCATCGTACATACACAGTCTTGGAATCGGAAGATCTTAGATGAAAGGAGAGAGCAGACCTAATGGTAAATTGACAGCCTAACAAGTGTCAATTTAAAGTTCGTACTGATCGAAATGATATGGAGATTGACCTGCATTACATAAGGTCTCATAAAAAGTGTGGCATACTTGAATCAGTTTCTGCTCTGGCCCCGCAACCTTCGTGTTGAACGTCTATCTTCCGAAAGAGGTACATGAAAATCCAATGTTTCTTGGGGGGCTTGCCTTGTGATAACACCATGATCAAGGTTGATAATCTACATGTTCCATCATGTTCAGGTAGTCGGTCAAACCTCAAAGGGTGTCAAGCGATTGGAGTCTCTGACAGTCAAACTGACAGTTACCGCTTTGTTCCTGCTGAAACCTTTTGGTCATTCTCTTTGAGACAGAATACTTAGTGAATACTTGGCTTTGCGCCAGAGAATGTGCCTGCAGCCCCTCAGCTCACGTCTGGACCCACTGTCTGAAAAGAGATCTGCAGCTCGAGGTTGCAATCTCTGGCCGAATTATAGACTTCCCCTGTCCGGGGCAGAACGTCTGAGAATGAATTAAAATGCTGGGGTCGGAGACCCGGTTGTGCTATGTGGGTTTCGGGATTGGAGACGACTCAGGAGATCTCAGGAGATAGCCTTTTCGGCTTCTTTGATTTCCATGACCTCAACCACGAGGATGACATGACAGGGACTGCTTTCGACAGTCCACATTTTCGCCAAGGAGCCCAAGTCCACAGGAAGCCATCCTTCATGGAGACAGGCACTCTGAGGCACATCACATAGGTTGAGATCCTGGGCTTGGCTCTGTCACAACCCAGCTGTGGCAACTGGATCAATGGCCTGCCAACACTCCTCTGACAGATGCGTCTTGTATGTGAACACTTGGCTAGTCGCCTAGTCGCCTAGTCCGCCACGCATGTTGCAGAAAGCATTCAACACAGAAAGCTCAGCATTTCCAGGGGCAGCACTCCTTTCCCTCCATCCCCCGCACACCCACCCAGCCACTACCCTCTCCATCAGTTTCAGCCACACAGCCACACTTGTTTCGGGATTGTAGGAGAAGCTGTGTGATGATGCGCACAGACGAAGCCGCATTAATGATGTATAATAAATGACGTCCCACAACTAGGAAGATCCTCTTGCAAACTCCAGCTGTCGAAAACACGTGCCTTTGTACCTGCCGAGGCACGGATAGAGAATCCATGGAACCACAATCAGGAGAACCTCAGATTCATGGAACAGGTTACATCACAGAAGGTGGGAGGCGCTGACAGTCAAGGGTGGGCTTTCCTGATACATGGTGCCAATGTAAAAGTTCTTTGCACTCTTCAGATACATGATGGTTTACTGTGTTCAAAATGAAAAGAATTATATATATATACATACACATGTGTATACTGTATATATATATATGTAAGAATTGCAACATTTCATGTATTTCATGTATTTCATGTATTTCATGTATCATTCTATCATGATGCCAAAAAGCATGTCATGTCAAGATAGATTGCCTCGTCGTCATCATGACTTGATCCCTGAGCTTCCAGGCCAATGGATCAGCCACTCGGCAAGCCACGATGTAGGCCAAGTAGGCTACACCGCACATGAAGACCACCCAGGTCCTAGGAGGAAAATGATGAGGAACTCATGGTTCGTTTTGGGTCAAAAGTGAGTCAAGTTACCATAGATCCATAGCTTCCGATATTGAAATCCTCAAAAAATCGCTGGGATTGATGATGATTTTATGGGAATACATCCCACTAAAGTCACTAAATTTAAATATTGATAATAGGTCCACTAAATTTAAATATTGATAATAATGATAATAGGTAACTTGACCCATCCCACTAAATATTTTTTAGTTGTAACTGCCCAATCTGGCCCAGGAGCTGCTTGAAAACGTACCACAGCGACAGATTGGTCTCGACCTCCCGTTCTACTTGATCCTGCCGAAACAGTCGGCGTTCACGGCAGGTCGACCCTGTGAGACCCTCCCGGCACCTGAGGTTTCCAATTGGCAGAGCCGGTGGCTTGTGCCCAAGTGGCACGAACCATTCGCAGAACGCCCAGAATCAGTTCAGGGCTGTACAGGAGGATAGACAGAATAATCCTGAGTGAAGGTCAAAGTGTGTAGGTGAAACCTATATTAGCAAACATTTGCACTCCTTGCCTGCAAAAAACTTGAATGGACGAAACGTAGGATCCGACCCTGAGCCAGATTTCAGAAAGTGCATGATTTGTCACCGCACGGACCACGTGAAATGCCAAGCGGCTCTATAACGGACAAAGCAAGCTGCCGCGTGAGAACGGAGCAACGACCAAGTCGCTCTCGTGGGCTTGGTGTCTCGCAGGGAATGCACTGTGCGAAGCGCAAGATTTTTGGTGTCCCATTCCGATTTTTCCGATTTGCGAGAGTTGTATACCAACAAGGTTGTAATACCAATCAATAACTATGGGTGTCACCTGGGTTTTTGTCCCATTCTGGTAAATCCCATTTCTGGTGATTTTTGCGAACCCTATCCCAGGTTGGTGTCACCAGCGGCAGGCAGACCCTTCCATGCCTCTGTCCGCGAGGGCTCTGACCCAGACTCAGTGTCAGAATCTCCTCAGACTTGAGCGGCGAGCGCATCCAGGCGACCGTCACCAAGATCGCCACCAAGATTGCCATACCCTCTGGTAAAAACTCACATAACTATAGAAAATCACCATTTTTAATAGGTAAATCAACTATAAAGATGCCATGTTCAATAGATATGTTAGTCATTGCCAGAGGGTTTTAATGTCATAAATGTCAACTGTTGAACATGCCAAAAACCATGCCATGTCCCACCTTTGTGACACAACTGGACCGAGCAACGTTTGGACATGAGGAAGGAAGAGGTGGGCACGTCAGCCATCTCCTGGCGTCATGAATAATGTCGTCCAATTTCTAGTGCTTTTCAGTGAGAAAAGTGCGACACCCAAATACCCTCTGGTAATTTAACATAGCTATTGAAAATGACCATTTATAGTGGAATTTCCCATTAAAGATGGTGATTTTCCATAGTTATGTTAGTTTACCAGAGGGTACCATTCAAATATCATTGGATTGGTTTTCTTGGGAAAATCTTAACCGGAAACCCATGGGTTTTTACCATGAAATATGGGGCTTTCCGGTTAAAATTTTCCCATCATCCAATTCTATGAAAAATTTTCCCATCATCCCATTCATCTCTCTCTTTGATATTACTTGACCCGACTAGTGGGACTGGATGGGACCGGCTCCTTGTTGTGGAACGTGCCATCGCCGATTTTTGAAGCTTTGGAGCTCAAGAGGCAAATGCGTCCCAAACGCAGAGAGGGCAACTTGTCAAGGATCAGGAAACCCTGCACGGCGCCATCCCAAACCGCACAGAAAGCATCCACAAGCTATTCATATCTGCACATGCTTGTTATCCCGGTAATTTCCGCTGCTCTGAATCTGAAGGTCCACTTAAAGTGCCATGTCAAACTTTAAAACCATCCATATGGTCACAAGAGAAGCGCTGGCTGATCGCCTAATATACCCATCCCATCACCAAACCCATCACCAAACTCTGCCTTTGGGATGATGAACAGGGCCAAAACAGTGAAGAGCAATGCGCTCAAGCCAATGATGGGCAAAATCACCAGCTGTAGGGCCCAGTGATTGGCCGCCAGTACCGTGGAGCACAGGTTGATCAGCAAGATCCCAGGGCCTCCAAAAAGGCCAAGAGAAACTGAGGGATGTAGCTTGGGAATGATTTCAAACTGCAATCTCTCTGCTCCCTCTATGATACTAACATAGCTATTGAAAATGGCCATTTATAGTGGATTTTCCCATTGAAAATTGTGATTTTCCATAGCTATGTTAGTTTACCAGAGGGTACTCCCTCTATGATAGGACTCGTCTGCCACACGTCTGCCGCACTGCGCCTGCATGGAAGAGACGGAAGCCCGTGTGAGACAAGTACTCTGCAGCTGTAGCGCAAGGTACCTCCTTCCATCGAACAAAGCGCCTCAGTCGGACCTACAATTTTGGCAAACCTGGCAGCCTTCTGAAAGACTTTCTAAGCCAAGAAATGTTATGTATAAATCATTTAAATCATAATACCCTCTGGTTATGACTGACATAGCCATGGAAAATCACCATTTTTAATAGGTAAATCATCTATAAATGGGCCATTTCCCATGGCTATGTTAAATAACCAGATGGTATATTGCCATAGAAGGAAGGCTGTGTCGCAACAGATTGCCGATGTGTAGCCTCAGATCGACACAGCTTAGATCCTCCCATCTTTGACAAGCGACTGCTGTGGCAGTTCCCACTTGGTGCAAAGGCTGTACAGACTTGAGAGGCCCTGGACCGCGCAAAGCATGAGTCAACTGAAGATCAAGGGGCAACTGTTAAAGCTAAACTGCTAAAATCTGCTAAACCAGTTGATCCACATCAAAAAATTAAGCAACACAGCGATCTGGAACCTGTACCACGGGCGTATAGATTCCTGAGATCAGAGCATCAGGTTTTCAATTTTCTATCCTCTCACGATCCGCAGTTTTTCAAATGTCTCAACTTCCACTGCCTGGCAGTTTTTCCATGGTTTTCCATGTTTTTCCATGTTTTTCCGAAAAGATCTGCTGACGAGGATCCCGATTTTTCGTAGCAACAGTTTCGCACCTCGCCCAACATCCAACGTGTGGATTGCGACATAGCACTGATTGGATTCCTTGGGGCTGAACGGCAAAATCTGAGGATTTTTTGTTCTGTGAATTCTCTCTGCTCCAGACTGAATAATGACCTTAACATACCTGAAAACAGTGGCTTTACTTCTATTTCCTCGACAAATAGAAGTTTAAATAACTAAAACATGTCTTCCAGTGGCTGATCATTCTCACAACGCCACAGACTCTGCAGACAGTTCACCTTGCAACATCCTCATACAGGGTCACGTCAGCATCAATGGCTGGCTGCAGCAGCTTGGCTTCCACGGTATCCTTAATACCACTAGACCAGTGCACCGCAACTCTGACAACAATGAGTCTTTGGTGCATAGAAGCAAGCGAGAGGAAGAAACTCTGTCTAGATGTAAATGTGAACACGTCTACATAAAAACCATTCATATAATATAATATGATATAATATAATATAATATGATATAATATAATATTAATATTAATATTAATATAATATACTATAATATACTATACATTACACAATATCAAGTAGTGCCCACCCGCGCCGGGCCAGAATTTTCAAAAAACACAACGGCCTGCAATGAACGGGCAGTTGTCGAAATGCTGAGTCCAATGACGTGACAGCAACAACATGAATGGTTGAATGACAGAAGGAAGCAATGAATAAAATAAATGCCATGAAATGCCATGAAATGAAAATGAAATGATCCAATTTATCATTGTGAGCTACTTCTTCTTTGAGCTATCCATTCCCTAAGCCAAGTCTTCTCTAAGCTAGCTCTTCACTGAGCTACTTCTTCACAGAGTCACCTCGTCGCTGAGCTACTTCTTCACAGAGTCACCTCTCTCGCAGTTGTTACAACGAGCGTTTAGCAACTTTCAGGCTGCAGTCCCGCAAAGCAGGAGCGTCAAAGCATCACTGCTCTACTGCATCCCTGTCCCAATGTGTTTCGTCTCCAGTTGCAATCCCTTATAGCAGGAGCATCACACCAAATGAACTTTTCTGCGCACTTGTCTGCGGCCCTCAGTCTTTTAAACATGTTTTGTTTCGTGAGCTCGAGCTCTCGCTGCAGTCTCGCGCACATTTTGCCAACCTCATCTTCCAAAAGTGCCCTGTTTTTTGGCATTTTAAATTGCAACCGAGCTCTCTCTCTCTCTCTCTGTCTCTACAGTCTCTACAGTCTCGTGCGCTTGTTTGCGACAGTTCTTTGAGATCGAGGCCCGGAACCGCGGAAACACAGACCCTACCTTTGCGACCTCAACAGCCACCATACCTGTAAAAACACAGGGATGCACGCGTTTCACCAACTCACCTTCTTCCGGATTGCTATGATTGCCATTGCAAGACTGACCATGGACAGTCGCCTGTAACTCGGAAGTTTGCGAACTAAACCTCCTTTACTAATGTGGAGATATACATACACACAAATACACACTATGTAAACACGTCCACGTCTGTAGGCAAAGGTTTACCTGTTGCGCCAATAATCGTCGCTGTCTGGCTTGGAGAGGTTGGTTTGTTGAGCTCATGATTGAGGTGATCGGCCAGTGCCAGCCACTCCATTTCTGCCAGGCATCATGACTCAAGATGTCAATAGGCAAAGCCTCCATAACGCTACCTGGCACTAAGATCGCCAAAACGTTGAACATCTACTGGCGGCACTATAATGACCAATTTTCCAATGATGGGACTCGTTACTAGGGAGTCTCATTTCCTGGCCTGGTCTCCCAATAAGCCGAGTGATGTAGAGGTCATTGCGTACAAGGCCTACCAAGGTAAACCCATGACAGAATGAGACATCACTTGGTAGACCATGAGGGTGACTTAGTGACTACAAACACGACCGCTGCTTCAAAAAAACAGCAGTTGTTTTTTACATACCAAGAAAGGCCTGAACAATCAGAAAAATGATATGATGTTCCCAAGCACTGCGGCTCTTGATATGACCGGGTCCAGCGCCTTTACCATAGAAGCCGACTCGGTTGAAGATCCAAAACTGTCCACGCTGAAGGTTCACAGTGGACACCTCCATCAAGGCATTCCTGCAGGGGTCGGGGGTTGATCCCGGGACACTTGCCGTGAAAAATTTGCTCCGCTCCACATGGCATGCATCCGCTCCGCACCACAGGGGGCTTAACTTTCCAAAGCTCCAAAATATTCCAAAATCAACCAGCGCCGGTCCTCCACATGTGCATGGTGCAGCTATCATCTGCTGAATAATCGTTGGCAAGATTTGCATTGATGATGCCATACGACCTCGAGACGAGGCCGCAGGCAATTCATGCTACCTTGTCGTCAAATAACCTCTCAACTGGCTGCTAAAGGCTTGCAATGGCTGAACCAAAGTGCCTTGTTTGCTGGTTAAACATGTATACAACATTGACAATCAACCGGTTCTCCATTTACCAATGACAATCATGACATCGAAAGCTATGAGCCGAATGAGCCGAGCAGCTGGTTGGCCGAATGCTCTGCAGTTTCCAACAATTTGCGGATGCTCTTGGCAGGGCAAACTGTGTCAGAATCCAAGACCATGGTGTAGTGATAACCTGTCCCAGCTGCTGCAAAAAACGCAAGAATCAACCGTGCTTTCAAGATCTTACCTTGCAGAAATTGATAGAGCTTGGAGTTAGGATCCGGCCTTTCATCTAGGACTGCTGGGTACACCCACGAAGAATTTTGAACGCAAGGCCGGCAACGCGGCGCCCTGCTGGATATCTACACCCGAGACTCAGCCCCCTGAAAATTGGGCCAAGATCCCCCGTCATCGACAAGTGACGGGTGTCTGGGTTCGAACCATAGCCTGTAAGCAAGGCAATGTCCTCGCAGCGACCAGACACCAACTGCAGCCGGCCAAAAAGGGGCCCTGTCAAAGGACTATCGTATGATACGTAAGATGCGGCCAGTAAAACAAAGAAATGTCGTTTTGTCTTCGAATAACATTGTTTGGCACCTCTTGACCGCGCTCTGCAAGAGCATGAGTAGCTGCGGCAAAATCTTCTGGCGACATCTCTTGCGGCTTCCTAGCAAGGCAGATTTCTTCTCATTTCTTTGTGAATTCTATAAACATGAAACTTCGATGAAACTTCAATGAACTATGCAACTATGTGAACTGGCGAACGGGATCTTGAGATATCTTCCAAAAAGGCCTGGCGATCGCTTCAATGGATCACCATTTCAAGGTGGATCAGCAAGGCATTTCTTCATATTTCTTCGGCCCTTCAACACGCGTCAAGGCACGTCACGTTGGCTGCAAAGCCAAAGCAAGCAGATCCCGCAGGCCGTCCCAGCTGCCCATAGTCTTCACGGAGGTAGGTAAAGGCCTGCAGCCCAAAAAACCGAAACGATGACCCCCATGGAGGCTTAAGAGACCATTTCAGAAATCCCCAGAGAAAACAAGATTCATAGGAAGCACAGGAACAAAGAATAACAGAACAGATGGCAGTTTACGATTTTTTTTTAAAAAAAAAGTCATGATTGCTATATTTTGATGAATTTTGATCATGTTCGTATGTCTTAAGATGTCTTGAGTATGCCTGCTTTGTGGGGGGGTCAACGGCACATGGCAAATCTACTGGGCATGGTGAGGAGCTGCGAAAATGGAACCCAAATAGGATGTTGGAAAGCATCTTCATCAAATCCGAATTTTCTAGATATTGTATATATATATATAGATATCCACCTATACATTGATAGATTAGTTGTGCGCCAAATTTCTCCACAATAAAAAGGGCCGAGTTTGCTGCACCTCATTCATGCCGGTTGATGCCAAGACCATCAAGTCTTGATATTGTCCAGGCTTTTTGAGGATGCGGCAGTTCCTGGCACATCTTGGATCATCTTGGTGGCGGAGTGAAATAATATATTATATAATATGATAATATATATATACATATACATATATATATATTATCATATATGATATAATATATATAATATGTATCTACATATATATATATGCCATATATGATAATATATATATAATAACAACATATATATATATCATATATAATATCCACTATATCCTGAATCCGCAAAATCGTGTGCGAAGCAGATTGGAAGCTGGTGGATCTGTGGAAGGGTTGTGCTGACGTGTGACACTTGTTCGCTCCGTGGCCCTTTACTAGATTTACTAGTGACTAGTGGCATCTAGTGGCACAAAATAATTCAGAATCCATGAGAAACGATGAATCGAGACCAAGGAAAACGATGAAAAGCCACGCTTTTCCCCTTGGCACCTGTGGAGATAAATGAAATGCTGGGCTGCATCATCCACACGTTGCAGAAGATCTGCACGGTAAGATTCCTGTGGCTTCAACAGATATATCAACCGGGTGTTTCAACAGGTTTCAAAAATCCCAAGATTCTGAACATTCTGTGATTTGCATTCTGTATTTTAAGCGACTGATGTCGACAAAGATTATTTCTATGATTTACATCTTAACATTCTCCTCATCACCACGTGCAGCAGCCCACGCAGCATCCACACACTGCAACCAGTAGTCCACGCGTTCCGTGGAGCCCTGGCATGGCACATCCATGGCACATCCCTCCAGCTTACTGGTGCATTTTAGGGCCCTAGGGTTGCTGGATGTTGCTGGATGGGGGTTGCTGGGATGATCTGGGTAGCCAGTGGATCCCCAAAAATGCCCGGAGCCTTGCTGACGGTCTCCAGTGCTTGGTGCATCGATCCTCGCCGCATTTGGAGGGTCTCTTCCTCTCGCCTCTGAAAGCCCTGTGGAAAGACCTGCGCATCGAAAAATCGACCTGTGATCAACTCATGGTGTGGATCATGATTGGTGGGGCGAGTGGAATTCTGTGGATGTGGCATCTCTTAAACACATAAGAACTGAACCTGGAGCAGAACCTTCAACTCATCCATGAGAGTCCTTGGTATGCTGGGCTGGGGTGGAGTACGAAGATCCGAATCTCAATCGAGACTCTGAAGGGGCACCAAAAACTGTCGATACCTTCTATCTGTTTCCAAAAAGTCGCTAACACCGTACACCTCGATGGAATTTTAGAGAACTGGGCAACAATGAATAACAATCAAAAACAATCATGTATCACTGTATCACCATTTTTCGTACGTTTCCCCCTATTTGCAGCAGCCTGTTCACAATCTGTGAGTTTTGGGCATGGCTGGAATTGCAGCATTGTCTCTCCACGATCTTCTTCCGACATCTATCTCTGCAGTCCATCTCCTCGGACCATGGGACCCATGGGAGCTACGGAGCTTCAGGACGACGTCAACCGGCAACATTCTGCAGAGGCGAGTGCATCTCTGAAAATCTCATCGTGTAGCTACAGCATGTTACAGTGGTACACCATGCCACTCCATGCCACTCCTATCAGCCCATCTAGGAGTGACTACGCGGTGACTACGTTGTGACTACGTTGCAACGCCAAGCAGCACACTGAACGACGGGCAGATCGCTGGAAACGCTGACAACTGCCGTGGTGATGAGGTTGTTGGAGTCCAGGTTGGCCAAATGCGCGTCGCAGGCCGTCTTAAAGCACTCCTCAGAACTCTCCTGGCGCATGCGCGAGGGCTAGTTCAAAATACAACACCTCAGGGTTTCATCATGTTTAATCTCAACATATGGCATGATTTATAATATTCATATACATTTTATATACTGTATACATATTTCACAATATATAATCCATTCAAGTATGTCGGGGGCTGCCCAAAACACGGGCTATAATGTTCCTTAGAATTGCAACTTCGAAGTCGTGGCTTCCGCCTGGCCTGTTGCCTTGACAGCAAGCAGTAAGAGAGCACAGTACGAGCACTCGAAGGTAGGCCTTGTGCAGCGTGTGCAAGAACTGGACATCTCAGACATGCGAAGTTCCGGCAGTGCATCTGACATCAAAATTTGGAACAAGAAGATGGTTTTGACTATCTATGTCATATATAATGTGTATTGATTCATATAGAGTAATGATGATGAAATCATATGAAATCCATTGTGAGCAATAGACTTGAGAGCAGGCGGAGGCGGACGAAAGGTACTGTAGTGTAGTGGGAGAGGAGTGGTGTCAAAATGCTGCGCCCCTAAGATGATACACCAAAAACGTTTTTACGCAGTCTAAGATGATTTTATCCAGAGCATGACTGCATGATACGGTGTCTTGTGCAGCGTGAAATGATGCACGAAAAGGGGTTTATTTAAAACCCCCCCTTGCAGCAACTGTTATTGAGGCTGAAGCATACCAATTATGCTGGACTACAGGGACATCTCCCTCATGGAAAGTGTGCCTCTAATGTGGGGGCCCGTGACCGCGTCACCCGTGGGAATTGAACCCATGACCATTTTAGAGGGGGGGGGGCTCCCCCCCCCCTTATAATTGATATCCAATACATAACGGCGAGAATTCCATGAATTGCACGGGCTGGCCCCCCAATACTCCCTATGATTGTGCTGAAGCACGGAGAACTCAGGTAGCTGACGCTACCTTTCGTGATTAAAAATATGAGCAACATGATATCTAAGCAGTCAACCATAGCCAACTCAAACACTCTGCAAGCCTCGGCTAAAGTCTTTCCGAGGAAGACGAGGCATGCCCAGGATCAGTCGAATCGCATGGAAGGAAACGGTGGTTAGAAAGAACCTCGGAGCGCAGTTCCCTTGAACGATCCCAAAAACAAACCTTTTGGAGCCCGCGAGCCCTCCACCGCAAAGCTGTCACACTTCTTGCGGTGAACAACAAGGGACAGCCCACTTTTACACTCTGATGAAAAAGTATCTCTGATTTTAAAAATTGCTGCAGATTGGCTCAATGATGCTCCACAAGCAGAAGGCGTTGGCCACGATGTAGAGAAGGCCCACAAAAAAATTGGTGCTCGTACCATCTGCCCAGAAAACGAAGAGACTGAACCTGAAGGGATGCTGGGGGCGAAGTCTTGCACCATCTAAAATACTGGTGGCCATTAAAAACGACCGCTTGATATATATATACCATCATAGCCTTATAACAATAACCAACATCTTGGGTTTTTGGCATTCATCATATGATGATATATGATGTAGAGGAAAGAGAAAGGATCAAAAAGTGAATGATACGAGTACTAGAGTACTAGAGTACTAGAGCTGCAAACTCAAGCAGACTTAGATAAGCCAGCGTTTGTCCGCGTGTGTTTGAAGATGGACAAAAATTGACTTTTGGGTTCACTTTCACACAAAGTCCTATCGCAGAATGACCAGTTCCAAGCAACACGTAGGTGGCCAGACAAGACAGGAGCACCACAAGGAAGAGGAAAATCCAAGCAGAGCACGGGGTAGCCAGGTTGGATGCCTCTGTAACATGGGCAAATTTGGTTGAAATGGCTGCATGTTTTGTGAGATGATGTTGTATTTGATTGTGTTCTATTTGTTTTAAACTTGATCTGGGCAGGTCTGGGCAAACCATCAGAATGATAATGTTGCTCGTCACTAAAAACAACTTCGAGTGACCCAGGTGTTCTTGTCCTTGCGCTTGCCAAAGCGACGCAGGCATTGCCACGTGTCATTCTTCTCCTGCCAGGCACTATTCTGTGTTTGCTTTCTAAGTCTGCTATTTCAATCTATTTCATATACCCTCTGGTACACTAACATAGCGAACTGGAAAGATCCACCATGCTATTAATGGGTAGTCATCAACTATTTCGATTGGGCCATGGCTTCAATAGCTACCAAGAACGCACCGAATCTGGAGCTGCGATTCGTTCATCCACTGCCCCGCACCTTCTCTTCCATCTCGATCTCACCTGTGTCATTCTGCCAGGTATATGCAGGTAGAAAATTTACCCTCTGGTTATGACTAACATAGCCATGGTATAGATGGCCCATAGACATAGATGGATTACCTATTAATAGCATGGTGATTTTCCATGGCGAACTGTTAAATAACCAGAGGGTAGTTGTTTTAAAAAAAAATGGAAATATCCTGCTCTGCAAGTCTACAGAGGATGCATTTGGATCTCATCTGCCTGGGTTCACAGCGCTGGGATGGCGGAACTTGCTGGGCTGAAAGGGCTTCACTGGCCGGGTCAATCTGTCGAAGCTCACAACGAAGTGCCTCGGCTCAAAAGAGACATTTCCGTTTAGTCATAGGGGCTACCCCCAAATCATCCATTTTAGATGGGGATTTTCCACTAATGTAATGGTACCATCATGAAATCACATACCAATGATGTGATCTACTATATCTACTATTTCCATAAATAAGACCAGGATTTTCCATGAAATAAACCATCCAGCTTCCAGCGATAAAGGGCTAGCCCCATGACATTGGAAAGCCAGCGATAATGGGCACACAACGGCAGCGTCCTATTGGACAAATCAATCTGGAGTGTCTGTTGTCTCTAGTTCTCAATGATCTTTAATGCACGTATACAAATCCTGCATTGTAGCAGAGCAAGTTTGCATGTCAAAGATATTCAAAGATTCTGATCCCAACATTTGCTTTCGCTTCCTCCCATCAATGGGGAAAAAAAAAAACATGGAATCTGACAATCATGGACTCGTGACCTTCACCCGAGCTTCTGAGTGATGAGACTCACAAAAATCAACATGCAGAAGGTGTAGAAGAAGACCTCGCAACTTGTCGGCCTTGTACACCACTGAAAGCCTCGGTATACTACTGTGGATGGTTGCGAACTCTTGCAGTTGATAGATGCTAACCATCCATGTTTATTCCAGCATTTATAAAATTTATAGGGTTTTCAACCATCCCAAATTGGTGGTTTATCGGATTTCCCTGGCCCATCCACAGTATGAAGCACCACTCACCACGCGACGATTCGTCACCAGCATCCCGTAGACCAGCGCACCCTTCATGCCGTCCTCCGACCAAAGCGTATAGATGACCTGGATGGTGATGTGTGCTCCTGGACCGGTCAAATCAGAATCCCGGTGAACCACCGGGTTTCGGGTTTACCTCCGGAAGCCTCCAGAAACCTCTGGAAACTAAGATAGGGTGACATATGGGTATGGATCAATACCTATTAATACCATTTTTAGTGGGATGAACATCCATTTACCAGCTATTTTGATGTTCACCAGGGGTACAAGGTTTTGACACACTGCCATATATGATTGACAGTTTGTTCCCGAAAGTTATTTGATGTGCTTTGTAGTTTCACTGACTCGCTTAAATGGACTTCCCATGAAAAAAAACAGGTGTGAAGAAAAGCATATTGTCCCATCAAGGAAGTGAACGCTGCAAGCGGAGCTCTGTGTAGCGTCAGGATGATGTTTGCACCACCATCCGATTTCACCAGAAAATTGAGGTCCACGAGGTGATTCCAAAGATGCCAGGTGGCCAGGTAAACATGGTAGGTTCAGGTTCTGTAAACATAGCGCTTCTTATCCCAACAAACATCTCTTGTCCAAGCTATTGATACTGACTTCCTGCATCGATGCTGTATCAACTTTCCACCCAACCCCCCCCCACATATCGATCATACAACACAAGCATGGTTCAGAAACTTCGAAAAAAACAGAGATATTCAGGAGTTTTCTATAGCTTTCTTGACGTTTTCGGGGCGAATCTCATCGGTCATCTCCTGCGCACGCACCGCTCACTGCTGCCAGGAAGTGATTGAGTTTGCGCAGCTGCAGACCAACTTGGCATGTTCCAAGCGATGAAAGCCGATCCGACCGACGGGAGAAATGTGATGAAAACCCCGTGGAAAACCCCGTGGTACAACCTGCAGAGATATTGTCCTTGTACAACCGAACAATCAAGCCAGCGATCATCCAATGAAACGGAGCCGACGAACCGAACAGCCGGAACCTGAGACATCCTGAGACAGCCCAAATAAAGCCACTTGGTTGCGATCTGCGTGCTGCCAAAACACAAGTTCGCAAAACGAACATCAGCAGGCACAGCGAATACAGGACAATGACCCACGTAGCATTGCCAGTCAGACTTTCGAACACTCCCTGGAAGAATGAGTGACTGCAACTTCTCAAAATCAAAATGCAGAACAGATTACACAAAACCACAAATCACTCCAGCGACGCAAAGACTGATGCTTGTGAATTGGACACTTCTTAGTTTGCGAAACTTCCTTTGATGCCGCATGACTTAGTTCTGGACTAGAGATCAAGTCGTACATGGGATACCCACTTCGTAGACTTCATAAACTCATCCATCACGGCAGAGTTCAAGCACCCTAATTAGGCTGCTGCTCTTGAAGGATTCAGTTACAGTAGGGGGATCATAGATCGTGCTTTTCAGAAAGGCTTCAACAAAGTAAGTCGGCAAATCAAAATGTTCAGGCCATCACCAGGCCTGCAAATTTAAGGAGAAAGCTTACAACCATGTGTGTTTGCAACAGACACACCAACTCTTCGCCACCTCTTAGGTGGCCTCTGTCTCACTTTTCATACCCACCTGGCTTTCACCAGAAGACCAAGGTGGGAGGAAGTTTTCAGCTTTCACCACAGACCACGTGTAGATACAGTAGATGCCCCAGACCTGCGAAGCGTGGACAAGTGAGACGGAGGTTTCCGTTTAGTCCTGGGGCGGTACCCCGACATCATCCATTTTCGATGGCGATTTTCCGTGAAATACAGCATCTAGCTAGTGGGCGTCCCTCATTTATGGAAACCCCCAGATGTGCTGGGTTCATATGCACCATACATTTCTGGATCCAAAAAACATACCATGATGCCCTGGTGCTGCCTGAAGGATCAGCAGACCTCATGCTGGGCCGAGAACCCGAGGTTTTGGAGTTGGCGACTGTCACTTTGGTCAGTTTTTTTACCAGATTGAGTGATTGCTGACACTTGGGATTATTTGGGACCAAAGACTCAAAATGCCAGCTGAGCAGCAATCCTACCCTGGAAACACTGGAAACTGTAACCAAAGTCTAGGCACCCGCAGACTCGGACAAAGCACAGAAGAATGCACCAGACACACCTGGAAAAGGAAGCACAGCGAAACTCCCCAGTTGATCCCCATGCGATCAGAGTCAAAGTGTGGAAGTTGGCAGATCTTTCTCTCTGCTTGGACGACTCAAATCATGAAAGCATGGATTGTTGCTGTTCCAAGTGCTTCTGGGAGCCAACAAGAATATGGAACACGTGGTCATCAAAAACGCTGGGCTACCAATTACCAATAGAGGCAGCACCTGTCCCAATACAGAGAGCGATGTTCGTCTGGCTGTGGTGCCCGAAGGGGTTTGCCTGGGGCGGCTTTGTTGTGCGACAGCAGAGCCATTTGTCGGTGAAGCAAATCAGAATGCACCCTGAAAACATCTGAAAACCATAGACTTCACAGCTCGACTTCATCTTACTGATGCTAAACGTAGGGAATTTTCGGGAATGATCCCAGTCATCACTAGTAATTTCATCATCCCAGCAACCCCCAGCAACCCATCCATTCCCATCAAATTGGATCCCCACAAGCCCAATCCAAGGTACTGGGTCTGAAATGCCACCAGCACTTGTGGAGAGTAGCGCCTGGTATCGGATTTTGATTGGTGAACCCAGGACTTCAGACCTATGCTACAGCTTAGTCTGTAGCAGCTGTGCAGCCTTCTGCGGAGTTTTTTCCGGTGCAAGAGCCACACATCCCACAGCTTCAATACTTTGAATCAGGAGTGAGTCACCTCCACCTTGACTTCCGACTCCAAGCAAGAAAAACACTAAACTCTGTAGTAAAGGTAAACAGTTCGGCAAAGTAAATAAACATAAATAAACAGAAGTAAACATAAATAATCATGAATAAACAGAAGTAAACATGAATAAACATAAATAAACAGAAGTAAACCCAAAAAAACTAGGCAAACAGAAGGAAACATAAATAAACATAAGTAACCATAAATAAACAGAAGTAAAAATAAATATAAATAAACATAAATAAACAAAAAAAAACATAAATACACATTAATAAACAGAAGTAACCATAAACAAACAGAAGTAAACATAAATATAAATAATCATAAATAAACATCAATAAACAAAACATAAATAAACATAAAGACACATTAATAAACAGAAGTAAACATAAATAAACAGAAGTAAACACAAATAAACAGAAGTAAACATAAATAAACAGAAGTAACCATAAATAAACAGAAATAAACAGAAGTAAACATGAATAAACACAAATAAACAGAAATAAACATGAATAAACATAAATAAACAGAAGTAAACATAAATAAACAGAAGTAAACATGAATAAACACAAATAAACAGAAATAAACATGAATAAACATAAATAAACAGAAGTAAACATAAATAAACAGAAGTAAACATGAATAAACACAAATAAACAGAAATAAACATGAATAAACATAAATAAACAGAAGTAAACATAAATAAACAGAAGTAAACATGAATAAACAGAAATAAACATGAATAAACATGAATAAACAGAAATAAACATGAATAAACATAAATAAACATAAATAAACATGAATAAACATAAATAAACAGAAATAAACATGAAATAAACATAAATAAACATAAATAAACAGAAATAAACATAAATAAACAGAATAAACATGAATAAACATAAATAAACAGAAATAAACATGAATAAACATAAATAAACAGAAATAAACATGAATAAACATAAATAAACAGAAGTAAACATGAATAAACATTTCAAAGAGAAAAAAAACATAAATAAACAGAAGTAACCATAAATAAACAGAAGTAAACATAAATATAAATAATCATAAATAAACATCAATAAACAAAGCATAAATAAACATAAATACACATTAATAAACAGAAGGAAA